TGTGAGCGAAAGTTGAACGTAAGTCTGTTGGAAATAGAGGCAGATACAGTTCAGTCTCTTGTAGTCCGCTGTTTGCTCGTTGTAGAGAGTAGAGCGAGCACTAGCTAATGTCGCCGACCGTAATGTGTAAGCCAACATTGACATTTTTAAAGATCTCTGCCAATGGTCTTGGAAAATGTTCCAGCTTCTGAACCTGTCTGATTGTTTCCAGTTGGTAACATTCCAATACCATTAAACTCCATTAAGAAATTCTTTTGCATGCTTTTCTGTGTGCCGTCCCTTCTAACTCGACTGCCACATCTTTTCCCAGCTAACGCCCAACTGTCACTTTAGCCTTGGCTCAGGCAAGTCTCCTTTGGAAATGTTCCTCTCTTTGCCAGGGTACAAGTCTATCAATTGCAATGCCATAGAACATGTTTATATGCCTTTCTTTCCAAACAGATTAAGTATGCTTAAAGGGTAAAATTTTCTTCCATTGCCTTATTTGTAGTAAGTACTAAATAGCTGATAAATGAATAAATGATTGTCTGTTTACTAAATTGCTTCATACCATCTTTAAACTTTCCAAACAGTTATAAAATTAATTAGCTTATAAATGACAAGGTAAAGTTTACAAAGGAGATGGCATTTACCTTTGAGAAGACCTGGGGCAGGAACTCTGGCCTGTAGGTGACAAATGGAAAGAGGGCTGAGACGTTAGTGAGGACACAGGACAGGATGAGGGGATCCTTGGTGTCAAAGTTCAGGACCATCTGCAACAGCTCTATCCCGTCAGTAACGGGAATTTCCTAGAACACACAGAGAAAAAGGAGGTTGGCAAGCCTGTCTCTGGTCAGAGATAATCAGTGTTAGTAGGGTTTTTTTTAGCCTTTATCTAAGTTACAAATACAAAACTGTATATGAGACAAACAATGTATGTGCCACTTATTATATGTCTTAACATGAAAATTATCCCTTGTTATTAGTAATTTTCATAAACAAGGCTGCCATGTGCTGTATTAGGGATAGAGTATTTCCTCCTACCAGAAATTTAGAATGTCTCTAGTTCTTCATTATTGAAAACGATGCTAGTATCTATCTGCCTATCTCTGAGGAAAAACAAAGGTCCCTACATTTTCAATTATTTCATTTGACTAAGTCATAACTTTTGGGATGGCTGAATTCAATAGGACAGAGGTATGACTATTTCTAAATTAAGTTGCTTTCTTCTCTCTAGGCTGATAGCAATTGATTCTTTATCAATCTGTCTTCCTGGTCACAGTCTCAATGACAATATTAAGACTCTAAAACTCTTTACTTATTTATAAGGAAAAAGTGGGCTTATAAAGCTTGTCTTTATTAATGAAATTCTTCCTGTGCTTAGTAGATACTCTAGCTACCTTCAGCTACTTTCCCCTTGGGTTCTATTTTTAAGGCAACTATTTAAATACCTAATTTAATATGCTATTCATGAATAAAAAATGTATTATATGTTACAAGTTTTCAAAAGACTTAGAAATTTTTTTAAAAATAAAAAAGAAGACTTAGAAATTACTTTCTACAACTCACCTAAAACACTGTCAGCCTAGGGGAAAAAAATGTGCAACAATGAGAGAAAAAATAATTGGCCTACAATTAGGTCAAATCCAATTATCTCACTCTTATTAACATAGCTAATATGATATCATTATGCATAAAACTCTTGTTGCACCTGAGGTTATCTCTTAAAAGAAAGGTGATAAACTTCAAGAAATATAGGAAAACAAGATCTATACACCCAGCATGTTTGAGGAGGATAGGGACACTGATTAGTCAATGTCAGTATTTTGGTCCAATTCTTAAGATCATCCAATTCAAAGTTTACATCACTGTCTTCTCTGCAATAGTTATCCTAAATATGGCCCCTATGTATTACCAAACTTATCTTTAAAACAAATACCAGACACTGGGTTTATGCTTAGACAGACATGAATTTGGATCCCAGCTATACCATGTACTAGTGATTTCAAGTTGGGAATATTATATAACATCTCTGAATCTCAGTCTTATTTTCGATAACATGTGCATTAACCAATTTTCCTACCTATCTACCAGTTTCTCTTTTTTAAAAAAATCACAATCATGATGCAATTAGTAGGAGAAACAATTACTTACTTCTTTATCTAGTGTTCGAAACATCTGGCTGATTACACATTCCAAAAAAAAAGTCATGGCTTCCCATTGCACAAATGAAGGTGAGAAGATAGAGCAGAGGCTGCCTTCTCCAGTTCCAGCTGTAGAACAAAGAGTTTTAACACACACACACATACACACACCAGCACTGGAGGATCACAGAAGGAAAAGACCACTTGGTAACTTCACAGCTGAGGAACAGGGTAAGCTAACCTCTCACATTCTGGTAAAGGAGAAGAATATGCAGGCTAAGACTGAGTAGTTCCTAAGCTTGTGACACTTATCTATAGTATCAGTAGGAGTACTGAATTGGTATACATGAGCATCATAAACAGCACCTTGCCCACTACAGGAATAGAATACTAATTTGTCAATAAATAGTATTTCTAGGAATCAAGAAGTATGATGGTTAGTGTTTGACAGTTAAATAAAGTTAAGCAGGCTGAACCCAACAAATGCCTCCACAGGGGGGAAAAAAAATAATACAGTAATCTGTTGCTACCAAGATTATACATCTTAAAAAAAAATTATATAGCTTAGAAAAGCCTGAGACAGTTCTCCTACCACATGGGGTACTATGACTCAAAATCAACTTGAAGACACCTAGCAACATGACAGTTCTAAGGACTATGCTGAAAATAGTGCCATGCTCCAAGTTCCCAGATAACAGGAGAGCACATTCCTCAACTAGCATGTCATGTTGTTAGTAGCACATGAACAGCAGATGTGAACCCTGCCCTATTCTGTGCCATCCAAACTCTGCTATGTTACAACCCAGTTAGTCACTGTTGTCAATCCACCCTGTTGGAGGTCTTCTCTTTCTCTGAACCTCCCCCCCCCCCTTTCTTCCCAGCCCATTTCTTTTTCCAAGGACTGGCCCCTCCTAAAACACGTCCAAAGTATGTGAGATCAAATTTCCCCATCCTTGCCTCTTAGGAGCACACAGGTTACACCTTCTCCAGGACAGACTAGTTTGTTCCTTGGCAATCCATGGGATAGTTAGTGTTCTTCTCTAACATGACAACTTAAAAATAGTGATTCTTTTCTGGTCATCCTATTCACTGTCCAACTTTCAGATGCAGAGGAAGTAAAGGAAAATATCATGACTGGGATCAGGTGAACCTTAATCTTTCAACAGATATCGTTGCTCTTCATCACATCCGAGAGGTCCTAAACAGAGAGGTCCTAAACAGCCGTTTTTCCCAGCGTAACATGTCTTTTGATTTCCTGATTGCTACTATCATGACTACTGATTGTGAACTGAAATAAAATGAAACAGCTGATAACTCCAATCTTTTATCTATCATGATGACCTATTAGTCTAATTGTGAGGATTTTAATTTTTTTTTTGCATGCTTCAGTTTCCTCATCATTAACAAAAGGATTTTCATTTTCTTGATGTAGTAATATTTACTTTCTACAAGCAAGGCTGTGTCATCTGCACAACTCAGTTTGTTAATGAGTCTTCTACTCTTCATATACAGATCAGCTTCCCGCTTTGCTCAGCAGATATATTGCATAGAAATGGAGGAAAGATACAGTCCTGATGCATGCCTTTCTGGATTTTAAATCACATAGTGCTCCCTTGTTTTGTTCGGAAAGTAACTTCTTGGTCTAAGTATAGGCTGGGTGGGGTTTTTTTTGGTCTAAGTTTTGCATTAGCACATTTAATCAACTGAAATTCCAATTCTTTTCAATGTTACACTCCTTCCTTCCTTCACTAGCTTCAAACTGGTACACTTCAATTTTGCCTCTACAAACTTTCTAGTTACTAGATGTCAGGGACCTTCAGAATCAATTGTGAATATTCAAAACTACTAACTGCCAAATCCCATTAATACCAAGTAATTAAGTACTTGGAAATCTACCATGAATATGAAACTTTTCCAACTTACACTTTCCTTCCTCATTCAACTTGTCATCTACAGTATGCATTAATAAAACAACAGACAGAAAACCTGGAGGACAGAAAAGTTAAAGAGCTTATGTATTTGATTAGAGGGGAATATTCTGACTTTATGCTTGACTAATAATATGTGATTCTGAAATTATCAGTGGTTTGGTACAAAGAGATGGTTGACAACTTATAAAATTTTAGGTCTAAGAAGTGAAATTTGTCAAAATAGTGATAGCAGTAAAGTAATAAAATCAGTAATTTTTAAAAAATGGCTGGTTCTGTAAGAAAAGAGAAACAAAGCAGCTGTGGTGTGATGTTTCATTAATGTTCAGGATTGTAAAAAAACTTACAATTCATGGATCCAGTATCAACAGAGGTTGAAAGTTGATATTTCAGCCACTCTCCAGCCATCTGGAAACTTGTCTTGGGATCCAAACGGCATGCCAATCTCATCACCTCTCCCTGCTGGGCTCGGGAAGCTGCCAAGAGAAAAACATTAGTAAATAGCTGTCACAACAGGTACTTTAAGCAATGTTTATTTATGTATCTGTTCCAAAAGAAAATGTCTAAAGTAACATTTTGTAGAATTTACTTTCAACAATGTCCTAGATGTTCATTAAAGCTTTCGTGAATTAAATAAACCAGAAATGTAAAATAAACCACTTTTCAAGACTGCTTTTTGCATTTAGATGCCAGTCTTCAATATGGATTGAGGCTCAATGTCAAGAAGACAAAGATTCTCACCACTGGACCAACTGGCAGCATCAGGATGGATGGTAAAGAGACTGAGACTGTTCACAGCTTTAATTTGCTTGGCTCCACAGTCAACACTCTTGGCACTAGTAGCCAGGAAATTAAAAGGCACATTGCCATGGGAAAGTCTGCTGTTAGGGACCTCTCCAAGTTACTGAAGAGCAATGGCGTGTCTCTGGAGACTAAGGTGCATCTGATACAGGCCACGGTCTTCGCAATCACTTGTTATGCATCAGAGAGTTGGACAATGACCAAGGAGGATAGAAGGAGAATTGATGCCTTTGAGCTGTGGTGCTGGAGAAGAGTATTGAGAGTACCATGGACTGCTAGGAAAACAAACAGGTTCAACCTGGAAAGGGTTAAACCGGGTGGCTCCTTGGAGGCAAGGATTCTGAGGCTCCGTCTAACATACTTTGGACATGTTGTAAGGAGAGACCGGTCCTTGGAGAAGGACATCATGCTTGGCAGAGTGGAGGGACAGCGCAAGAGGGGAAGGCCTCTTATGAGGTGGAATTCAGTGACTGGGATAATTGGGATGGGAGTCTCAGAGACAGTGCAATTGGCACAGGACAGAGTAGAGTTTAGGGCTGTTGTACATAGGGTCGCTATGACTTGCAAGCGACTCGACGGCACATAACAACAAGAAGTGACAAACTAACAGTAGTCTCCCATTCCTGTTGGCATGAAAGGAGATAAGGCTGGGAGGAGTGAAAAAAGCATAGCTTCTGTGGAAAAAGGTCTGGCAGGTCTTCAAAACATCACACAGAGTTATCACAGGGCCCGCAATTCCAAACCCAGTTAAATACACGTGGGAAAAAAAACCACAAATGTTCACACAAAAACTTTTCTGTGAATGTGTACAGCAGCATTATTAGAAGTAGTTCCAAAATAGAAACAACTCAAATAATGTTCATCAATTAATGAATGCATACATAAAATATAACGGGCAATTAAAACACCAATATACACAATAAAAGGGATGAATCTTAAAAATTAGCAAGTAAAATATAAACAGCCACAAAGACTGTTATGATTTGATTATAATTTTTATTTAGTAAAATATAGTTATATGAAATGTCCAGAATTGACATATACAAAGAAAGTAAATAGTGATTTCCAAGGAGAAAGGTTGAGGGAAGGAAGGGATAACTTCACATGAGTCTCTTCTGGGACAAAAGTTCTAAGACTAGTGTTCTAAAGTTGACTGTGATTAATATTTACACACCTCTATGAACATAGTAACTACCAGTGAACTATACAACTCTAACCAGGCAAACGGAGAGCTCCGGTGGCATAATCTGCAAAAAGCTGTGCTGCTGACCCAAAGGCCATGGTCTCTGGCAGTTCAGATTTAACAGTGGCTCACCTAGAGAAAGAGGGGCAGTCTTCTCCATTGTGATTTATGGCCTTGGAAATGTTGTGGAAGGCTACTCTAACCATAGACACAGCAGTAGGGTGAATTGGGCAAATTGTACAGTAAATGAATACTTCACCAAAGCTGGGGGTGAAGAGGAGAGAAACAGGGGGAGCTCTGGTGGCCTAGTGGCAAGGAGCTGCAACCACAATCCAAGAGGCGCACGGTTTGAATCCACCAGATGCTCTGCCGGGGAAGGAGGGACAATCTCCTCCTGTACCAGTCAGATCTGATTTGACGGTACAC